CCGAAGATCTATTTGCTGCAGACGCTATACGGGTAGTCGTATAGGACTCCTTGGCTACCCGTATAGCCACAGTATACGCCCTAAGAGAGGCTGTAGCCCGTGCTCGATCAGACACGTCCCGAGATCTCCTCCAAGTGCACTCTAGCCCCCTCCTCGCATGCTTCATCACAGCCAGCTCCCCGGTGAACCAGGGAGACGGCTTGTCATGACGCAACGTGATGGGGCGTTCGGGAGCGATCGTATCTATCGCCCTGGTCATTTCCCTCGCCCTGGTCAATAGATCAGTCACCAAAGGTGAATTTATCACCTCAATTCAGATCATGACAAAATTGTTATTAATGTATATCATACTCCACCTGAATCAACTGAGGATGGTAAAATTACATGGCATAGTTACTACAATGGAACATTGAAAAATGGGACACAATCAATAAGATCTTCCCAAATGCTCCAAGGGAGGTTGGCGGTGGACTATGAGCATACTCCAGATGACTTTTAAATAATTTTCCTCTCATAGATTCATCAGAGAAACTCAGCATTACATAAAAACAAAAGATGAGCCCTGCTGGATCAGATCAAAGGCCCTCCTTGTCCAACACACTGTTCCCACAGCAGCCAAGCAGTTGCCTGTGAGAAGCCCACTTGCAAGACATGAATGCAGTGCCACCCTCCCACTCATGTTCCCTGGCAACATACTGTCTCTGAATATATAACTACGATGACAATGATGTTGGTGTTTTACATTTTTAAACAAATACGTTATAGTTAAAGACTCAAAAATCAGCATTAAAATAGAATTAAAACCATTGAAAACGTACAATTAAAATCTTAAAAGGCAGTCTTTAAAAGCTCTGTACAGTTAGAAGATTTCAACACATTCTTAGTAGGAACTTCCATTCTAAAGTCTGTCAAAATAAAAGAATATTTGCCTGGCAAAAAAAGGCTGGAATAGATATTCCACAAATATATAAACCCAATTTTCCTAGTTTCCAACAGACCTTACAACCTCTGAGGATGCTTGCCATAGATGCAGGCGAAACATCAGGAGAGAATGCTTCTAGAACAGGAGTCCTCAAACTTTTTAAACCGAGGGCCAGGTCACAGCCCTTCAAACTGTTGGAGGGACGGATTATAATTTTAAAAAGCATGAATGAATTCCTATGCACACTGCACATATCTTATTTTTAGTGCAAAAAACACTTTAAAACAATACAATAATTAAAATGAAGAACAATTTTAACCAATATAAACTTCTTAGTATTTCAATGGGAAGTGTGGGCCTGCTTCTGGCTGATGAGATAAGATTGTTGTTGCTGTTGTGTGCTTTCAAGTCATTTCAGACTTAGGTTGACCCTGAGAGAGGACCGAGTAAAATAACTTGGAGGGCTGTATCCGGGCCTTAGTTTGAGGACCCCTGCTCTAGAACATGGCCATAAAGCCTGAAAAACCAACAACAACCCAGATACTACTATCCTTGAATTTTCCATAAATTTGTCATGGAAGTCATTCACAAGAGGAACTCCCATGACAGCAAGTTCCACAGATGATTGTTATGTAAAGAAGTTCTGTTTTTATGCTATGAGTCTTCCACTGTTTTGCTTCCTTAAGCTTGGGTTCTAGTATCAGGACAAGGGGAAGGGGGAAACCCTCTTTCCAGTCCACGTCTTAGTTACTTCAAGTCTGGACTACTGCAACATTCTTTATGTGGGACTGCCTTTGAAGATAGTTTGGAAGTTGCAACTGGTTCAGAGATCGGCAGCCAGGTTACTAACTGTAGCGCTGTACAGGGAGAGAACTACTCCCATGGGTTGTTGTAGGTTTTTTCGGGCTATATGACCATGTTCCAGAGGCATTTCTCCTGACGTTTCGCCTGCATCTATGGCAAGCATCCTCAGAGGTA